ATCTCTGATGTCATCCCAACCCCATCATAAACCCATCTGTTATTCCCACCACGCCCCTCATCACTGTCTCATCCTGTTACATGTCCTGCAACACCCTTCTCGTGTACTTCTCTGACACCGACGTCCTGACTTCTGCACACAGTACACAGTACAAAGTCACTTGCTTTTTCTGGTGTCTTAGAGTCCTAGGGTCTAGAGAAGACTCTTGAGAAATAACCAGTTTTTTTCTTAAACAGACAACTATGATGGAAATGAAGCTGGTATTTGGCAGATAAATGCTTTAATCGATGTCCCAGAATGAGAACACACTGCCGGCCGACATCCCGACTAAAAAAGAAAATAAATAAAAAGGTCAAAAGAGAAATGTGCTAGAATTTTAGATTTGGTTTAAAATATTTATGGAGTAATTTGCTTTCTTATCCAGAAATGAAATGACTGTGTGTTTCGTTATAAAACCAATCTGAAAAATCTAACTACTGTAGCAAATGAAATGAAATGTCACATGAAGTGTGTCAGGTTTTTTCACATATATGAGCTGCTTCCTGGATATGCAGCGGTTCTACCACAGGAAGTGGTATAGTAGGCCAGGTATAAGGTTTGTCATACATCTCATATCTTTATGCTGAAAACTTTGACTCATTTCACAGAAGCTCTGTTTTTCATGTCCTTTCCTTGAAATGTTTTTTGTGAAATGCACAGTGAATTCTGCATATGTATCAACACAAAATATGGATTTTAAATTAACGTTTTTTTATGTAACGCTCGCTCTAAACAGAAGAACTGATTATAAAACTTTATCTCCTAACAGAGAATAATATCCCCGTGACCACCCCTGATCCTGATCCTACTCCTCCGATCGCTCTGCCCAAACTTTTGAGCACCATCCTGCTGTTCATCCTCTACACCTGTATACTCATACTGGCTGTGTACACCTACAGAAAGTGGGCTCAAGGTAAGAAAACTTCAAAAAATCCTGATTATGTTGGTTTATGTCAATTTTCTTTAAGGGGTCAGAGGACATAGGTGCTGAAGAAATGTCAAAAATGAATTATTATCATATACGATGAGTAAACTTTACAAAAACTAAAATTTCACTCTGGACATTAAGTTCACAATGTCAGACTTTTAACCCATTAGGCCCTGTGCGCACGGTGCCACCTTAGTTGCAGGCTTACTTGCAGATGCTGCACCTCTCTTACTGATCTTTAACATGCACTTTTTTGGAAGGCCTTTATTGCAATAAGACAGTGGAGAGAAGACATGAAAGCTGAGAGCAGAACTCAGAGTAAAAGCTCAGGTTTCTGTATTAGCTTTATGACATATGCATCACCTGCTGAACCCAGTGAGCTAAACCACTGCTGTAAATGTGCGTTCTTATTGAGAGTATAATAACTCTAACTCTAAATAACTTAACCTCCAGTGTTGTTTTGATATTTGTCTCTGTATCTTGCATTTTTCTTTTTGGTAGATTATCAAAGAAAAGTAGCATTACCTCACTCTGTCACTATTTGTGAAGAAATTTCTGAAGTTCTGTTTTAGATCCATGAGGTTCAGGCTGGACTTTATTACTTTAGTCATCAGGCACAAAAGTTGCTTTAAAGATGGAATCTGACTGCATGAGGTTGCAGACCTGGTTGATGCCTGAAGAAACCATTTGAAAGGACTTTCAACTTTATTGTTTCCAAACACTACTTGACGTAATGTTTTCAGTGGGAGAAACATTTGGTCACTCATCCCAGAGGCTTCCTCAG